TGGAGGACAGCCTGAAGACTGGCTCAACAGAAGTCCTATAAGGATATTCAAAAGAAGCTGCATTGATCCTGGTAGGATGTTTGGAGAAGGGGGAACGGGCAGGCCCCACACTCAGTGTGGCAGTTAAGAAATGGTGGGAAAGGTTAGTATCCGGGCTGCAGAGGTTTCCAATGGAAGAGCAAGAAGAGAAAGGCCCCAGCCCCTCTGGACACCCTCAGCCCAGGATCCCAGTGCCAGGGAGAGCACTCCCTATGCTTTCTGGCTGTGAAAACAGGCAGGGACTGCGGCTGAGTGAAAGGGAGGGCTGTTTGCTGGAGTCCCAGGTGCTCCCCTTAAGGGGCTGATGCACAGATTACTCAACTGACACTTACTTGCTCTGAGCTCCAGCGCTGGGGCAAGAGCTTGAATGCCAGCAATTTACAGGGAGGACCTGCATTGTTGGGCTTCAGAGCACAGGCAGGAGGAGCAGCTTTCTCCCAGAGAGAAGTGCGGGCAGAGCCCCTGTTTTCTTCTTGACCCTCCCCCACCCAGCTTGTTACCTGTCAATAATTCCTTCCCATGTAAATGGGTGAAATGCTCCATTCAAAACATGAACTTCCATTAATGCACAAATAAATAAAGAAAACATGGTCCATATTTGCAATGGAATATTATTCCACCAGAAAAACAAATGAAATCTTGCTATTTGTGACACATGGACAGATGGACATAAAGAGTATTATGCTAAGTGACATAAGTCAGACAGAGAAAAGCAAGTACCATATGGGTCACTTACATGTAGAAAGTAAAATGGAAAATAAATGCACAAGGAAAACAGAAACAAATTCATTGATACAGAGAACTAATTCATGGTTACCAGATTTGGGTTGGGGGTGGGCAAATGGATGAAAAAGGTGAAGGACTTGAGCAGTAACAAAGAAAGTGCCCATTATAAGATTAGTCAAGGAGATGTAAAGTGTAGCCTAAGAAATGGAGCCAGTAGCATTGTAAAAACTGTGAGTGGCATTTCAAGCCCAGAAGGAAATAGCCTGTTTTCAAGTGATTTCAACTTGAAGGAAAGAATCTATCAACCATGAATTTAATAACCAGTGAAACTATCCTTTGTGTATGAAAAGGAAACACAGACGTTTTCAGACGAATGGAAACTAGAAGAATTTGTCGCTTAGCAGACCTGCCCATAAAGAATGGCTAAGAGATGTTCTTTGAACAAAAAAGAAATGATGAAGGATGCAATCATGAAGCATCAGGAAGGCAGAACAATAAAAAAGCAGAAATATGGCCAAATGAAAGAGACTATACTTCTCATGAGTTTGACAAGTACATAACATACCTCTTTAGTCCATTGTTTTTATCCTAAATCTAATTTTATTAATAAAACATTGTTATCTGGTCATTCTTTTAGTGCATATTTATCTGGTATGTCTTTTAGTGTCACTTTGTTTTTAACCTTTCTGTGTTGTTTGGTTAACAATATATCTTTGTCAAGAACATAGTGCTGCATCTGGTGATTTTGCTTGGATTGGTTTGGTTTGCTTGTTTGTAATTCATTTAGAGATTGTTTGACTTTGATGTGTGGGTTTGACATTTATTGTGATAAATGATATAACAGGTCTTAGCCTGTTTTTTCTTTACCATTATTTCTTGTTGTTTCTTGTTTTCCTGTTGTCTGGGTTTCCACTGAATAATTAGTCCTTTTCTTCTGGTTTGAATGTTATACACCCTATGTTTATTCTCATGATACTTGTACCTAACTTATTAAAAGACACACCTATATTTTCTCCCTGCCCTCCCTCATCCATCTGTTAAACTTGTGATTATGTACATCCTTTCTAATAAAGACAACTAACTTTTAAGATTCTGGTGGACATGTGCAGATTTACCAAGACAAGCCATGTGTGTAAGTTCCCTTGCTTATTAAAGTTGTCACCTACCGATCTGGATTGTTCTGCCTCTTTCTGCAGTCTCTCACTGCCACCCATAGGTGGGAGCCAGGTTCCAAATTCACCCAGGGAACTCTCAAGACTCTGAACCAATATTTACATTGTTGGATTTTATCATTTGTGGTGTCTTTTCATATTGTTTCTGTTTGACTTTCTAGGAGCACTTTCAATCTAAGTTTTTTAACTTTTTTTATTTCTCCATAATTCTTGGTTATTATTTCTTAAAATATTTTCTCCTCTTTTTATTCTTTATTTCATTTTAGGACTCTCAATACCTAGTATGTTTCCATATTGCTTAACATTCCTTTTACACTTTTCACCTTTTTGAAATTCCCTCCTGATATCTGATTAAACAGTGTTTTTTGACTGATAGTCTGGCTTTCAAATTCACTATTCAGTTTTACCCATTCTGCTACTCAATGAAGTATTAAATGACTTATTCAACCATTATATTTTTCATAGCGTTTTTATAAGTTCTTCCTTAATGTCTCTTATGTCCTCCTTTGTCTCTTTTAAGATAGCTTAACAGTGTGTGAACTGACTGTGGGAGTAGGGGGTGGGATGGGCAGAGAAAAGCAAAGGGGGAAAATTTGGGATGACTGTAATAGAATTCAAATAAAAAATCTGAAATGAAAAAAGAATACATTTTATTCACCTGTTGTAAATTGTTCAGTTTATTTTTATTTAATATAATAGAATTCTTCTGATATTTTTTCCTTGTGAGTCCATATTCCCTATGCCCAGGTTATAAGCTGGTAATGTGTGGAGGTAAGGGAACCAAAAACCTCAAGGTGTTTCCTGTACTTCCTTTGACTTACCAGGAAGGGCACCAACTGTAGGTGAAATATATGTATGTATGTGGGGAGAGGAGGAGAAACTTAGGGAGATTTTAGTTGTTTTCAAAGCAGAGAATCTGTGGTGTTAGAATTTGGCATGCCACCCCGTTTACCATCCTCTTTCTACCAGGTGATTTTATCCCTCAGGGAACTCTCCATCACTATCTCCTTTTTGCATTGACCATTTGACTCACTGCAAGTATGTGTGAATATGTGTGTATCAGAGTGTGAAAAAGGTGAATAAAACCCTTTGAAAAGGGTCCACTTTTATCTATTAGTATCTATTCCTCTCCCAGCCCAGCTCTAAGGCTACGCTGGGATGGTGCTAGAGTGGGAAAGATGTACCTAAGGCAATGCAGGAATGAACAGAAAGTAGCACAATAAAATGCTAAAAACCCGCACTCCCTATAGCACTTCCCCACAGTCCCTTTGTGGCATCTAGGAGTCTTCCACTGTGGTTGTCATTCTCTTATAATCTATACACACACACACCCACACCCACACACACACATACACCCTAGGACCAACTGTAGCCATGTGTCCCAGAGTTTCCAATGAATTTTTCAACAGTTTTGCAATCCAACAACCTCTCCCTTCTAGAAGATCTCTGGGTTGGGTTTGGAGAAGGGAGGTGGCAACTTAAGTTAGGATACTGCATTAGTTATCTTTTTCTACATAACTATTACTATACACTTAGTGGCTCAAAAAAGCACACATTTATTATCTCACAGTATCTGAGCAAAGGTCTGAGCACAGCTTAACTGGGTCCACTGAAGCTGGCTATCAAGATGTCAGCCAGGATTGGGTTCTCATACAAAGGCTCTAGTAGGAATGATCCACTTCCAAGCCCCTGTGGGTTGTTGACAGGGTTTAGGCTTTTGCTGGCTGTTTGCTGAAGGCCACCCATAGCTCCTTGCCATGTGGGCCTCCCAAACCTCACCACTTCCTTCATCAAAACCAGCAAGAAGTCTCCTAGCAAAACAAGCATTAGAATATGCCACCTTTGCTGTGTCCTATTGTCAAAAGTGAGTGCCAGATGCACATTGGCTGAGTAGCTCAGAGCATCACGCTGGGTAGAAAAAAAATGCATGTCTGTCTGTTTCTCTCCAGCACTCTCCCCCCGCCTCCAAAATCAATTTAATTTTTTTTTCTTAAAATAATGAGTCAAAGATCCTACCCACACTCAAGGGGATGGGGGCGCAGGGTGAAATTAAACAAGGGTGTGAATACCAGGAGGCTCACATAATGGGCACTAGATAAGGGGTGGCATCTCATGAGAACTAAAAATCATCTTTACCTAAATTTTTTGAAAGCCATTAGAGGGTTTTAGGCAGTAAAGTAACATTATATTCTTGTTGCATAATGACCACTGGTCAGAAAGTGTGGAGAATAGATTGGTGGGAAAGAAAACTTGAGTTAAAGAAATCAGTTAGTGAAATGATGGTGGCCAGAACTAAGATAATGCTAATATGGGAACAGAGGAAGATGGACAAATTGGAGTTATTTAAGAAATAATAAATAGGACTTAGTGATAAATAGACATTGAGACAGAGAAGAGTTAAGGGTATTCTCATTCTTGCTTTTAAAATGGGTTTGTGAAGAGGGGCAGTTGAAACACTATGAGTTTGAGGGGGGTACATTTGTCCACTAACAGGATGAGACTGACTATGCTCCTTTGAGAAAACCACCTCTTTTCTTTCATTTAAATTAATGGTTATGCCTGCTTAAAAAGAATCTCTTGCTCAAATTTATTGAAACTGGTTGAATCTTTTCAACTTACCTATTTCATAAGTGAATTTTCAGTATTACAGTAGTCCATGGATGGATGCATTTACATCGATTTGCGTATACAACCCCGATGTTCCTAAAAACACACCTTCCACTTCACTTGAAGGCAAAGGAATTTGGGGAGGTAAAAAATATGGAAAAGCCAAAGCTCCTCTAATATATCTCACATTTACATTAATTTAGGTTGAACTCTTCAGCAGCCCTGAGCACTGGGCTGTAGTCTCCACGTGCAGAGAAGCGCGGCTACTCGCACTTACACTCCGATCCTTCTCCGATCTTAGCGCGCTCTCGGGTTTCTTGGATCTCTCACAGGGGATGAGGCACATACTCTCGCGAGAAGGAAAGAGACAGCTGCTCGTTCGCACCCCCCCACCCCCCCCATAGCGCCAAGTGTACTCCCACCTGCCGCGAAACGGAGTGTGGCAATTCCCAGAGACTTCTGGGAATCGTAGTTCTGGGGCTTCGGGAGGCTCTCCAGAGTTGCTCCCTCCTTACGCAGGCGCGACAACAAGCTGGCCGGAGAAGTTCGTAGTCTTTGTTGAGCGTGGATGGGAGGTGAGTTGGTGGTTCTGAGGTGGCTTTTCTCCGATTGGCTTCGGTAGTGGCCCCTGGGCATCGATCCGTGCAGAGTCGGGGCTGGAGTGCACAATGGTAAAAGGGGCCTCGAGGGCGGATCATGAGCCCCTCCCCCCTTACGCTCCGGCCGGAATCCCTCCTGCGGGTGCCGCCTCCTGGGGACTCGGGTGCGAGCGCGGTGCCGGCTGAGCACGATGGGCGGGGCGCGGGGCTGTCGCGGGCCTTGCAAAGAGCCCCGAACACGGCGGGATTTTTCTACGCGCCTTGCACCTCCGCGGCAGCCCCAGCACCATCTCTCCCAGCAGCTCGGTTCCCTCAGGTGCAGCTCCAAGCGGCAGAAACAGCCATCTGAGGATCCAGTCTCAGGGATGCTGTCCCCGGGCTTCCAGGTGCCACCCTCGTAGTACCGAGGAGAAACCGGATCCGACTTGATCCAAGCCTCTCCGCAGAGCCCCCAGAGGGAAGGCGGGAAAGAGGACTGGGAGGCCCCTGTCCAGGCAGGTCTGAACTGAGGGGATTCTGAGGAGATCAGAATCTTCAGAACCAGGCGGATTGGTGATCATGGAGAGAGATTTGGCCGAAATTCCGGAGAAGAGAGGTGAGAGTTGCTGGAGTGTTGACTCGTGTTGTGGCAGGGTGAAATTCTTCCTGAAGAGAAATTGTTGCCTCAGGGAGGTGGCTCTTGGCAGACGGCCCTGCCAGTCTCCTTTGTCTGGGACGTGGATGGGCTCCTTGAGTGAGAAGGGAGGGCTTGGTATGGGAGCATCCCCCTTTCCACTGCAGCTGAGTGCACAGTGATCCTTCAAAACCACCCCCAAATGTGAGCGAAATGTTAGCTTCTAAGGCATGAGCAAAGCCTCAATTACTGTTCCTCACACGTTCTTTTTGTCAAACTATCAGTGAGTCTGAGCATTTAGCTTCTTGGTTGGCCAAAAAAAAAAAAAAATTCCCTCAACTGTTATTTCATTTGGCACAATAATCTTATAATTTCAGAAGTGCAAGTATTTTTGTTTTGTGTAGTAGAAAACAGGCATAAAAGTCAGTAACTGACTAGCCCAGTCTTTCTTGAGGTTTGGTCTGTGACCTCATGTCAGAATTACCCCTGGGTGCTTATTAGATGTATGGATTGCACCTCAGACTTAATAATATTTAGAAGTGGGATCCAGTAATCCATGTTTAAATAAGCTTGCTGGGTGTTTTTTGAGAAGTGAGCCTATTTTCTTAATTTAATGTAGATTAAGTTTGGAAATAAATTGACTTATTCTAATTTGTAGATTAGAGTACTGCCTACAAGTGGGTGTTACGATTATAGCAACAGTGAATTTAAGCCCCTGAGTAACAACATTTCTGGACATTCTCAAGGATGCATTTGGGCTCCCTCCAAGTTGCAGTGTTTGTAGGGAGCATCATCAGTATGGTGGAGTGATTTTTACCTTGTAAATCTGAATCACAAGGTACATTTGGATCTCACAAGGACTGCTTTCTTGCCCTTAGCTCTGTCTTCCCAGGATTCTTTTTCACAAGAGAAGAGCGCAGAGAAAGGAGAAGTGGCAGCTCTGCGCCTCACAGCCAGATCCCAGGTGAGTGGGAGGCTACTGATTGTTGAAATTCCACCCTATTTCTTAGAGCACAAACACACTCCTTTCTCTCTGATGTGGAGTTTCTGTGCCCACCAGAGCCCATCAGGCGGCTAATGGACTCACTAGAAAATGTTTTCTACTGACTTATGGTGTCTTCTTCATCTAGTATAACAGGCATGTAAGGAGCCATTAGCCTTCTTTAGACTATTACGCTGATTTCTGAGCTTGGTGACTTAGGAAACTATTTTAAAAGAAAATGGACATCTTAAAACTTATTTTTCTCTAGGGGAAACAACATACACACGACTGTTAAGTAAGAATTTGAGAAAGCACCTTTTGTGCTGAAGTGAATTATGAAAATAATAAATACTCAAAAGTTCAAAGGAGTGCTTAAAAAGGAAAGCCTATGGAAGGCTTAATTTAAATAGTTAAAATCCAGCTCTTCAAGATGATGAATGCTGAAGTTTAGAATTGAAGCAACTTACTTTCCAATCTGTCCTACAAGAACAAATATTAAGAATTTTTAATTTAAGTTCTGGTTGTACTATATGGGTGATTAATATATTATTCATTTCATTTAACTATTTATACGTTTGAAATTTTTATTAAAAGAAGTTGGGTAAGAGGAAAGGATTCTTCATGATGTGTATGGCATGCTACAACCCAAAGATTCCTGAATTAGCCTTTTTCTTTGCTACTGTGATCCCAAGTGTAAAAAATACACATTGAACATTGGTACCATTTGTAAAATTGACTTCTCAGGATCCTTATATACTTGCTTGTCTTCATGTTTCTTAGCTGCTTTACATTAGTATTGAAGACTGTATTAGTCAAGAAGCTTAAGTTGCAGCTGATAAAAGCTCAGTTTAAACTGATGTAAGCAAAGAAAGGTGTTTATTGACTAACATGACTGAAAAATCCAGGTCTCACTGGAAGTAGTTCTCAGTAGTAACAGAACCTATTTTCCCGATTTCACTGACCTTTTCTTTTCTCTCTATGGGTTTTCCTCTTAAGTAGGTTTTTCTCCTAGCACTGGCCCTTACCAAATCTAGGCTTCCACCTTCCCACATTGAAGATCAGAGACAAAAGCCAGCTTCCCTCCTAATCATTCCAGCAAAAGTCCAGGGATTAACTCTTTAATGGGTATTAGGCCATTCTTGGGCTGGTTATTGTCCAGATCTAAGTGTATTTCTCTAACTGGGCAGACCTATGGAATATACCTGCACACACAGATAGAAACACACACACCACCCATGAGTCAGAGATGGAATTAATATTATCTGAACTACACTGGCCAGGCATGGCAGCAGAATACAAGTACCAGAGGACACTTTGATACTGGATTCAACACCGTTAGAACCTCAGGGTAGGTTAAAACCTTTTATGGAAATTTTTAAAAATTTTCTTTGTCTTTTTTGCATTGCATTAGATTTGGTGTTATGCTAATATTACAACTACCTTATTAGATTTTCCTGGACTATTTTTGTTGACTTCTTAAAATATTAAAGTTTTAATTTTTGGTTATTATAACCAAGTGAACAGCATAGACATAGATAAGTATGAAAGTAATATTACTCCCCTGCCTTTCCCTGAGGATAACAGTTTGATGCATATTGTTCCATATGCTTTTGTTGAACTTGCACTACTGTATTCAGACATGTGATATTTCCTTTAATTTCTCCCACACCCTGTCACCAATTTTGGGGTATTTTTAAGAGTGTCTTTGTGTAAACAGAATTTGGCTTTTTTTCCAGTTTTTAAAGGGAAACTAACTCATTCACATTAATATGATTCCTTGTATGTTTCAAATTTTTCTTGTCATGTGATTTTTATAATTCTGTTTACTATGCTTTCTTTCTTTGTATTTTCTCTGCCTTTTGTGCAATCGTTTGCATTTTTCTGATTTTTTTCTTCTAGTGGTCAAATTTCTGTTGAGTGTCAGTTTAGTTGTAGATGTGCAGATTGTAAGATCACAGTCATTTTTCCTCAAAATTTCTTGCCCACTTAGTGGCTACTTAGTAATTTACATTTTATTTTCCATGGATGATTATTGTATGTTTTTTAAGTTTCAGATTATTTCCTTTTTTGGAAACTGTTTTTGAAATAATTTAAGGCTTAAAGGATGTTATAAATCTTAAAAAGATTTCTTATATACTCTCCATTCATATTCTCTAAAAGTTAACATTTTACCTTGCTTTATTCTTATTTTCCAAAATTAGGAAATTAGCATTGATATAGTGCTATTTTTCTTGTCCCTCCTTCAATTTCTGATTTTATCCTGTAATTCTTTCTTTTTTCCTTAGTTGTTTGTTTTTTTCTAACTTGACTTGTATGCTTTGTTCATTTATTTACATTATTTTTTAATGAAATGGAAGTGTTTAAAGCTGTAATACTACCTATGAGTACGGTTTTAGCAGTTTGTCATTGGTTTTGCATTTTATTTTATTATTTTGATATTCTGATGTGTTTTAAATAATCAGTTATTGCTTTGTTCTGATTATATTTTGGGATTTATTTAAATTTACTTTGTATCGCTTCTCGGCCTTTTGGCTAAGATCAAGTGTAGTATCTGTTCTTATCAGTTTAAATTTACTTTGTTACTTTTGCAAATGCTTCATGAATTTTTAAATAGGTGTTTTCTATCCAGTTATAACATTTCATATATATTCATTTCAACAACCTTAGAATATTATTCCCATTCTCTGTGGTTTTATTTTAAAAGGCATGTAATATTTATATGTATCTGCCTCCTTACAGTTTTGTATTTTTTCTGTCTTATGTAAACTTAATTCTATGATATTTACACATAAACATGTGTGAGTGTTACCTGTCCCCTTAATCAATTTGTTGTCATCATTTTTCAGTTAATGTTTTTGGCCTTGAATTCATTCCATGCATAATTGGATGTGGTGCTCAGTGTCAGTCTTTTCATTCCATGACTTCTCCATTGACAGCACTTGTACTGCAATTCATCTTCTGATTAGTTACATTGATTCTACAAGTTTTTAGTGAGGATTCACAAGGAAAGGTATACAGACATGTCTTTTTTCCTCCTCTCTGTATTTTGTTTACTTTACCAAACTATATTGTTGAGTCATTGGTTCATGTTTTAACTCTTTATTCCCCAGAAATATTATAGTGTCTAGTGGAAAAACTATAGTTGTATTTCTTTTGGTTCTCATATTGAGAACCACAGCATGCCTGGCACATAACTGATAGCCAGTGACTTTATAGAGAATATTTAGAATCTGAATACTGTTAGAAAACTTGTTGTTTTACTTTTGAATGTATTCAATCCCTCTGCTCCAGGGCCACCAGCAACGGGGAAGGAAGGGGGCGTGAAAGGGATGCTGAGTGAAAGATGGTGAATGAAAGTATGTTTTGTGTTGTAGGCATCCATGACATTCAAGGATGTGGCCATGGACTTTACCCCAGAGGAGTGGGGGAAGCTGGATCCTGCACAAAGGAATGTCATGCTGGAGAACTATAGGAACCTGGTCTCACTGTGTAAGGATGGGTTTTTTTCTGTGACTCTGCAGTCTGCTAATGGGGACATACTACTTTATTGGAAGTAAAATAACAGAGTCTTTACTTTTCTGTTCAGGAGTCATAAATGTTCATCCCTTGGCCCCAGAGAAAATCTATTGCTGTACTAGGTTCTTGGTGAACTGACTATGCTTGTTTTGTATTAGGATTCTTTGGATTCAAGTGACAGAAACCTAATTCACATTAGCTCAAGGAGGGAAAAATCTTTCTTTTCACTGATTTTTAAAAAAAACTCTTTATTGTAAGTTAAATAAATTTATCTATTTTTAAAGAAAGATAAGCTTTTTCCCGACTAGCTTCTGGAATTGAGTAACAGTTGCTGGCCTTGATCCTACCTGATTGTTGTTGAGATGGTTCTGTTTCAGCGTTCCCCTTATTTCTAAGGTACAGTGCTTAGCCCTAGGGAGGGGAAATTACTTTTAAGGTATTTCTCTTCTTAGAAATTTTGTTCAACTTTACGGGTTTTCAACTAAAAGCCCACATTAGCAGTTTATATTGATATGGAATAAAGTACAACCTCGGTTTCTAGAAATCTAGTTTCTAAATTCTCTCTTTAGCATTTTATCCCCCTAACTGTTGTGTTCTACTGGCTAACGTAAAGTTGTGATTTTTGTATGTACAGCTCAGGACTCAAAAAAATTAAATGGTATTTGCATATAGATTTTAGTGGTCTTTCTCTGTAGGTACTTCCTGTGTTGGCTGTGTTTCTTAAATCACAGTCATTTGATAGAACTACATTGCAGTCTCTCCCTGCAGCAGTAAGACTGTTGCTTTTTACTTGAACTGTACTGTCTACACCATGATTTGGAAATATCAAGGTGAATGTGAATACTATATATGTTTGCTTCTGTCAAGCACTGTAGCCCAACAGTTACTGCCCATTTATGCCTTCAAAATGTGGTTTTATGAAGTTAATTTGGTTATTTACTTATCTTTCCACAAAAGAGTTAATCTGTTAGTATGTTGATGGGAGGTGGGAAAAAATGGAGTGTTTTTTTATCTGATTAAGCTCTCTCTTAGCTGAGCATTGTGAATCTAGATTAGAAGGTGTGGACTTTATAAATATTTCTTTCTTCCTTCAGTCATAATGCTGGGCTTAGTGTGTATTCCTACCCTTCCCACAGGGGTAAATACTTCTTTTATTTTTCCATTCCCTTCTCCCAGCTGCCCTGGGTTTCTGCCACTGTGCCCAGGTAGCAGTTTGGCAGTCCAGCCCCTGGCAGTGAAGGCTTCTGCTAATTAAGAGAGATGGGTCTAGGTAGATGCTAGATTCTGTTTCTCAGGGGGAACAAAATCTTCATTCAGGGAATCATATATATTATCAGGAATTTATTTATTTTAATCACATGGTTTGACTTTGCCCTGAATTGGTTTTATTCCTAGGACCGCCCCATGTGGCAGAGATGGCCACTGGCAGCTCTATGCTTACATTCTCCTTCCAGTTAGAAAACTAAGGAAAAAAAGGTAGTGTTTCTGTCCTGGGAGTTTCTGCAGATAGGGTCACATGTTGATCAGTGAAACACAACCACTAGAGCCAGGGAAATAGGGTACTCTGGCCAGTTTGGACCCTGTGACCACCTGCATGTGTGTGCACACATGTGCAGATGTGTATGGGTGTGTTTGTATGGGCATGGGAAGTTCTAGTAACTAAAGAAGGAAGGAGGAAAAAGCAGAAGACAGTTCTAGTCACCACAGTCACAACTTTGTGGTGCTGCCACTGAGGTCCTGTTTTCTCCAGCTTCTTCCCTAAGCTAGGGATTGATCTGCAGTGTCTCCCTGGAACTTCCTCAGTAAAGAAAGATAAATTCTCTTCTTTTTGACAGGCAAAAACAGACTTCTGCTGCAGATATTTTAAGCTTCGTGGAGAGGTCCATCTTCTTTCACTGCATGTCTTCCTGTAATCCTCTGTCCTCTTTGCATATCAGGGGTTTTATGCTCTAGGATAGATGATTGTGCCCACCACAAAAACTAAGTCCCACTTCTTTCTCTCTTTCTTTTAACTTTTGATGAGCAGGGCTTCCAGTTTCCAAGCCTGAGAACTACAATTTGGAGAGTGGAAAGGACCCATTGATGCTTGAGAAAAAAGTACCCAAAAGCAGCTATTCAGGTGAGTTAGGTATATGGGAATCTTTAGAAATAAAAGCCCCTCAGGACAGTGAAAAACTGTCACTTTTCAGTGCTTAAGTAAGACTATTAGAAGTGCCTACATGCTTTTACTTTTAAAATATTTTAAATTTCATAGCAATTTAAATATATACAAAAGTCAAGAAAAAATATATACATATGTTTTACATTAAATACATGCTAATATTTTGCTTCATTTGCCTCTTTTTCTTCTTTTTTTCAATATAAAATAAATAAAGTTATAACTGTAGAGGTCTATGAATTTTCACAAATTGAATACATTTGTGTAACTAGCACCCAAATCAAGAAACAACCTTACCAGCACCCCTAGAAGCACCCTTATGCCCTCTTTAAGTCACCTTTTTTCTTAGAGTAACCTTATCCTAATTTCTAATACCTCAGATTAGTTTTAACTGTTCTTGAACTTTATGTAAACAGAATCATATTGTATGTATTCTTGTGCCTGGCTTCCTTCACTGAAGATTACTATGAGATACATTCATGTTGTTACATTTAGTTGCAGCTCATTCATTCTCATTGTTTTACAGTCTTTCATTATGTCATTATACTAGTTTACCTGTTCCCCTAAGATGGTTATTTGGGTAGTTCCAGTTTTTACTTATATGAGTAGTGCTGCTATGTTTGTTCTGTCTTTTAAAAAACACATATATGCATTTCTGTTGGATATATACATTAGGTAGAATTGTTGGGTCAGAGGGTAGGTCCTTGTTCACTTTTGGTACATACTGTCATAAGGTTTCCAAAATAATTATACCAATTACATTTCCACTAGCAGATTATGTGAGTTCTAGCTGCTCTGCATCCTTATCTGCACTTAATATTGTCTGCCTTCTTAATTTTAGCCATTCTTATAGGTGTGTGGTATCTTTTACTCTTTATGAAATAAGAAACATTACAGGTTTAGTTGAACTTCTTTTATTATTTTTCTCCTAGACATAGTCAATTTGTACAGTTGGTATAAAACATCCTAATGTTTGTGTGTGTGTATGTATGTATATATACACATATACATATGTACGAAAATGTATATATAGTACATTATACTTTAATAATTCAGTTTTTAAATTTCACATTGTATTTGATATTAATCTGTGTTAATACATATGAATTGTGTTTATTCATTTTAACTACTATGGAACAAGTCCATTGTGTGAATAAACTGAACAGTTTAATTTTAGTTTTTTGCCATCAATAAGAGAATTGCAGTGATTGTCCTTCTATTGACTCCTTATGTTCATCTTAAGAGTTGGTTTAAGATGGATAACAGAATAAGAATAGCTAGGTCTTAATGTATCATGCGTTTAGCTTTATTAGAAACTGCCAGTGTTCCACCACCATTCTGGCCAATAGTTGGCACTATTAGATTTAGTAATTTTTGTCAGTCTCATAGATATGAAATGATATATCATATTTTTAATTATATTTTATTGATTATGCCATTACAGTTGTCCCAGATTTTCCCCCTTTGCCCCCCTCCACCCAGCACCCCCAGTCCCTCAGGCAATCCCCACACCTTTGTTCATGTCCGTGGGTTATGCATATAAGTTCTTCAGCTTTTCTGTTTTCTATACTGTACTTTACAACCCTATGACTGTTCTGTAACTAAATTGTGCTTCTTTTTAAAATATATTTTATTGGTTATGCTATTACAGTTGTCCCATTTTCCCCCTTCACTCCCCTCCACCCTGCACACCCTTTCCCACCCACATTCCCCCCAGTTTAGTTAATGTCCATGTGTCATAAGTTCTTTAGCTTCTACATTTCTCATACTATTCTTACCCTCCCCCTTTCTATTTTCTACCTATCATCTATGCTACTTATTCTCTGTATTTTTTTCCCCTCTCTCCTCCCACTTCCCTGTTGCTAACCCTCCATGGAATCTCCATTTCTGTGGTTCTGTTCCTGTTCTAGTAGTTTGCTTAGTTTATTTTTGTTTTTGTTTTAGGTGTGGTTGTTAACAATTGTGAGTTGTCATTTTATTGTTCATATTTTTTTATCTTCTTTTTCTTAATAAATCACTTTAACATTTCATATAATAAGAGCTCGGTAATGATAAACTCCTTTAACGTGACCTTCTCTGAGAAGCACTTTATCTGCCCTTCCATTCTAAATGGAAGTTTTGCTGGATAGAGCAATCTTGGATGTAGGTACTTGCCTTTCATGACTTGGAATACTTCTTTCCAGCCCCTTCTTGCCTGCAAGGTCTCTTTTGAGAAAACAGCTGACAGTCTGATGGGAACTCCTTTGTAGGCAACTGTCTCCTTTTCTCTTGCTGCTTCTAGGATTCTCTCCTTCGTTTTTATCTTGGCTAACATAATTATGATGTACCTTGGTGTGTTCCTCCTTGGGTCCAACTTCTTTGGGACTCTTAGCTTCCTGGACTTCCTGAAAGTCTATTTCCTTTGCCAGATTGGGGAAGTTCTCCTTTATTATTTGTTCAAATAACTTTTCCACTTGTTGCTCTTCCTCTTCTTCTTCTGGCACCCCTATAATTCGGATGTTGGAACATTTAAAGTTGTCCTGGAGGTTCCTAAGCCTCTCCTCATTTTTTTGAATTCTTGTTTCTTCATTCTTTTCTGGTTGGTTGGTTGGTTGTTTCTTCCTTCTGGTCCACTCCATTGATTTGAATCTCAGTTTCCATCCCATCACTGTTGGTTCCCTGTATGTTTTCCTTCATTTCACTTAGTGTGGCCTTCATTTTTTAGTCTAATTTGCAACCAAATTTAACCAGTTCTGTGAGCATCCTAATCACCAGTGCTTTGAACTGTACATCTGATAGGTTGGCTATCTCTTCGTTGCTTAGTTGTATTTTTTTCTGGAGCTTTGATCTGTTCTTTCATTTGGGCCATTTTTTTTTGTATCGATATGCCTTTTATGTAGTGAGGGGCAGAGCCTTAGGTGTTCACCCTGGTGGGTCAACCCAGTCACTGTGCTGTGATGCTGTATGTGGGGGAGGGGTCCGAGAGGGAACAATGGTGCTTGCTCAGCTCTCTGCCAGATTTCAGTCACTTCTGCCGCTTCTCCCAAGCAAACTGGCCCTTCTAGTGCTGATTCCCTGTTGGGTGGGTTTGTGTACATTCTAGGACTCCATGGGTCTCTCCAACGAGCTATCCTGTGAGTCTGGGAGTCTATCCCTGCGCCTCAACCCCCACAGGTGTTTTCAACTGGTGTTTTGAGACTATATTTCCCCATGCTCGAACCCTGAGTTGTGGGGCCTGTCTCACTCCCCAGTTTTACCTGGTTTATCTGTGCACAAATGTGGGACCACCCAATTTTCTAGCCACCTTGCGTACTGCACAATCCGCCACAATCCGCCCTCCACAATCCGCTGCCTTGCTGGGTCCACCGGCTGCCACCTTGTGTGCCTGGGTCCACCAGCCACCGCTTTTTTTTTTGCCTCGACCCCTCCCCACCCAGCTACCTGACTCTGCCCCTCCTACAGGTCTGGATGAATGTGTCTACTTTAACTCCTTGGTTGTCAGATTCCATACAGTTCAATTTTCTGTCAGTACTGGTTGTTTTTGTTGTTGTTGTTTGTTTATTTATTTATTTTTGTTTCTAAATTTTTGTTGTCCTTATTTTGGTTGTGCAAGGAGGCACAATGTGTCTACCTACGCCTCCACCTTGGCCAGAAATCCTAAATTGTGCCTCTTAATCCCTTCACCTTTTCACTTCTTCCAATACCCCCTCCTATGTGCAGCCAACAAATCATTCTCTGAATCTGTGATTCTGTTTCTGTTCTGCTTGCTTAGTTTGTTTTTTAGGTCCCATTGTTGATAGAGATGTATTTATTGCCATTTTATTTTTCTAAGTTTATCTTCTTGTTCTTAAATAAGTCCCTTTATCATTTTAGGTAATGATGGTTTGGTGATGATGAACTCCTTCAGCTTTTTTTTTTTTGTCTGGGAAGCTCTTTTCTAAATGATAGCTTTGCTGGATAGAGTATTCTAGGTTGTAAGATCTTGGTTTTCATCACTTTGAACATTTCTTGCCAATTCCTGTTAGCCTGCAAAGTTTCTTTTGAGAAATCAGCTGATAGTCTTATGGAAACTCCCTGCTTTTCTCTTGCTGCTTTTAAGATTTTCTCTTTAACCTTTGGCATTTTGATTATGTGTCTTGGTGTGATCCTCTTTGCATCCATCTTGTTTGGGACTCTGCGTACCTCCTGGACTTGTATGTCTATATCCTTCACCAAGTTAAGGAAGTTTTTCCTTATTTTTTCAAATAGGTTTCCAATTTCTTATTGTCTCTCTTCTACTTATGGCACCCCTATGAGGTGAATGTTGGTGTGCTTCAGGTTATCCCAGCGGCTCCTTATACTATACTCATTTTTTTTTTATTCTTTTTTTCTTCTTGCCATTCCTGGTCGGTTGTTTTTTGCTTCCTTGTGTTCCAAATCATTGATTTGATCCTTGGCTTCATCCACTGTACTGTTGATTTCCTATAAATTGTTCTTTATTTCAATTAGTGTAGCCTTTGTTTCTGACTGGATCTTTTTTATGCTGTTGAGGTCCTCACTAAGTTGTAAGTGCATCCTTGTAACTAGTGTTTTGAACTCTGCATCTGATGGATTGCTTATCTTCATTATGTTTAGTTCTTATTCTGCAGTTTTGTTCCATTCTTGTATTTTGGCCATGTTTCTTTGCCTCCTCATTTTGGCAGCCTGTCCTGTGTTTGTTTCTAGTATTAGGTAGAGCTGTGGTGACTCCTTGTCTTGGTACTGTGGCCTAATGTAATAGGTGTCCTATGGTGTCCAGTGGCACAGCCTCCCCTATCATCCAAGCTGGGTACTCAAGCTGTGCCCTCTGTGTGGGCTCAGCTTGTAGTTGAGCTTTGATTGCTGTTGGCAGGTCAATGGGAGGGATTTAGCCAGGCCAGTCAGCTGCAAGGACTGGCCGTGACCACTGACCACCAACCTCCAACCACCATGGAGGATCAACTATGCAGGCACCCACTCCACAG